ACTTCTGCTCAAACTCTTTAAAAATGAACCACAACCAGAGCCCTGAATTGGATTTCTTTGGATGCATGCAACAGAAATCAACTTTACCTAACTTAATCCAACACAGACTTCTTGGAAAGATGCAGAAGCTCACGGGGTACAAGTGAACACTGGAAATCCAGGACTGCTCAGGGATTAGGTAGGCTGAGGAGTTAGTAGCAGGAACTATTCTACAGCTTTTCCTGAGCACTCTGTTGAAATGAATCAAGTTCAGTTCTATTTTCTCTTCTTTTGTCACCTCATTCACCATTTGGAATCCCAGGAGAGGGAGTATGGTTGTCCATGATTAGGTCACATCTCTGGGCTGAACTCAGGTGGTAACAGGAAGGATCTAGTGGAAGGAACTTCCAAAGACATTTTGGTTTCCAAAGCAAGAGGCCAGAATACCTACTCCCATCAAGTTTGCACTAATCTGGGGAGGTGTAATCTCTTAAAAGGAAATGGGGGTCCTCTTATTTTAGAGGAATAGATGCTGGATATAAAAATTGCAAATATTCATCTTAGGTATTAGATGATAAAAAATGTGAGATGGTACAAAGTAGCACTCAAAAATGAAAAGTATAAATTAAGTGAATTTACCTGAAAAGCAAGAAAGATTGAAAATAAGTCAACGAAGATTCCAACTCAAGAAGGTAGAAAGGGAACATGAAAATAAGCTCATCAGAAACTAACAAAATGTTGTAAATCAACTATACTTCAATAAAATAAATTTTAGGGACTTCCCTGGTAGTCCAGTGGTTAGGACTCTGTGCTCCCAATGCAGGGGGCCCGGGTTCTATCCCTGGTTGGGGAACTATATCCCACACGCCGCAACTAAGAGCCTGCATGCTGCAACTAAAAAAAAAGGTCCCACATTCCCGCATGCCACAACGAAGATCCCGTGTGCCACAGCTAAGACCCGGCGCGGCCAAGTAAATAAATAAATAAATAAAAATATTGTTTAAAAAGACAATCCTTTAAAAATAAATTAGTTAAAAAAAGAAAATAAGCTCAAAGTACGAGAAATTATTAAAGATAAAAGTAGACACCTGTCATCAAATAAAAAACCCCAACAATTGACTAGTAAAATAATAAATCTGGTTCTTTAGTCCAATAAAATAGACCAATCTTTGGCAAGTCTGGTGAATAAAGAAAGAAGGGCAGGGAGGAAGACAGAAAAGAGAAAGAGCAAAAATACAAATAAGCAACATTAGGGGTCATAACTACAGATATGGAGACTTTAACAAATGATAAAAGTATAAAATGCTCAAACTTGCAATAATAAATTGAACTGCCACATGAACTAGATATTTTATCAGAAAAATATCAGTTACCAAAATTGACTCAAGATGTAGAAACTTCAATAGACAAACAATTAAAGTAGGAATTGGAAAGGTATTCAAGGAGCTTTCCCCCAAATGTCATCAAGTCCAGATGGTTTCATAGGTGGATTCCACCAAAACTGCATGGAAAATCTCTATGATCTCTAACTTTTCCAGAGGCTCTAAAAATTTCCAACTTATTTTACAAGGCCAGTATAACTCTGACAACAAAACAAAAGAACAGAATAAGACAAAGTCCCCTCAAAAGAAATCTATGGGCCACTCCTATTTTCTAACTTCGATGTAAAAGTTCTAAATAAAATGTGAGCAAACCAACCTATAATTATATTTAAAGAATAATTCATAACGGCCAAGTAGGGTTACTCCCAAACATTCAAAGATGTAAAATTAGCAACAATTCAGGACGTCGACATGTGAAGAAAATAAAACATTAGGACTATTTCAGTAGGTGCCAAAGTATATGAATCTCTTCTCTATGCCTGCAAAATCCTTCAACTTAGAAATCTTTGGAGAAGCAGAACATGCCTCCTATTACAGAAGCTGAAAATGCCAGATACTTGCTTTCCCAGACTCCCTTGCAGCTGGGTCACAAGTACAAGACCAATCGGACTCACACCCAGACTCTGAATCAGAAGCGAGTATCACAAAGGGGTAGGGATGATGCAGGATTCTCTCTCTGCAGCCAGGAGGTTGTGGTAACACTTGAGTTCCTGGCTCAGCAGCTGCAGTGGAGCAAGCTTCAGCGACCTGGTCTTGCAGCAGGAGCAGGGATTTGCTCACCAGACTGGTTCTGCAGCCTGGTTCTGGGCACTGCTCCTAGCTACACAGTCCCACGTCTGGTTCTGTAACCCTCACTGAGAAGTCTGTGAAGTAGGCAACATATTTTTATTTTTATTTTGGCCGCACCACGCGGCATGCAGGATCTTAGTTCCCTGACCACTGTCCCCTGCAGTGGAAGCGTGGAGTCTTAACCACTGGACTGCCAGGGAAGTCCAAAATGTATTTTTAATAAATTCCTTTTCAGCCTAAATTAGGCAGAACATTTCCTGTTACTTACAACTAAAAATCCTAATTGGTGCCAAAGTGGCAAAAAAACCAACCGCCTTAGGGACCTTACTCCAGGTCAGGGCCTCTGTCTATGCAGCTCTCCCCCTCACTTCTTGCTGCTTAGTGCCTCATTTCCTCCATGTTTTCAAGTACTTTTTGCAGCCGGCAAATTATATAAATGGCAAGTCTATGGATTAACTGCATCTGGCTCAAGTGTCCACCCCTTGTCCAGTCACCAGTCAGCAGACAGGGGCAGGTTCATGCAGCGGCATGGTGCCCCTTCTAGGGACAGTTGATAGGACATTTTCATCATTGGAAGGGGCCATGGACCAACAGATATGATGGCTGACTTTCTGAAACAGGCATCTAACCTGGTCTTGGGAAATCCTAAAAGGCTTTCCAGAGGAAGAAATTCTGGGCTGGAACTTTCCAGATAAGTAAGAGTTAGGCAGAAGGGGATAAGGGATGAGAAGAAGGGTCCAGGCACAAGAAAGAGAATAACCTAGAGTGAAGGGTGGAGTGTTAAGAGATGGGGCTGGACAGGTGAGCAAGGGTCAGATCACGCAGGACCCCACAGGCCATGTTAGGGACGTTAGACTCCCTCCTGAGGGCTACAAGGAGCCATTGGTGACTTTCAGGCAGTGGAAGGATATGAGAAAATCTGCATTTCTGAACGACCACTTGGGTGGGGAGAAGGAGGGGAGTTAGAAAGTTGGGAGAGCACTGGGGAGGCTGCTGCAGTGAAGCAGTGGAGAGAACATGGCACCCTGGACAAGGAATGGTGGCAGTGGGGATGGGACAGGGTGGGTTTGAGGGGCATTAGGAGGTAAAATCAGGGACTTCCCTGGCGGTCCAGTGGTTAAGACTGCATGCTCCCAATGTAGGGGGCCTGGGTTCAATCCCTGGACAAAACTAGATCCCGCATGCCACAGTGAAGATCCCACATGAGGCAGGTTGCACGTGGGAGTGGATGGGGGGAGTTAAAGATGACTATCAGGGATTTGTTTGTTCTGGCTGAAAGGCTATAGATAAATGAGTGGATAACAGAACCACTCACCAGGTTGGACAACGCAGGAGGATTAGCTGTTTGGAGACATACGGTGAGCTCAGTTTTGAACATATTGCGTCAGGGCCTTTGGGAGAGCCAAGAAATCCAAAAGGCAGTGGGACACCTGTGTGCGGGTCTCAGGAGAGGAGCCTGGGCTAGAGACAAAGATTTGAGAGTCACTGGGGGACAGGTGGTGGTCGAAGGCAAGGGAATGGATGAGGAGACTCTCAGGTGTCCGTGTAGCATAGGAGAAGAGGAGGGCCAAAGACTGAACTCTGGGGCATGTGTTAATTTTTCATGAAGGGCAGGGGAAGAAGAGTCCACAAAGGACACTGAGAAGGGTCAGCCAAGAGGCAAGAGGAAAACCAAGAAAAACTTACTCTCAGATAAACAACAGGGTCCTACTGTGTAGCACAAGGAACTGTATTCAACACCCTGGGATAAACCGTAATGGAAAGGAATATGAAAAAGAATGTGTATACATGTATAACTGAGTCACTCTGCGGTAACAGCAGAAATTAACACAACACTGTAAATCAATTATACTTCAATACAAAATAAGCTTAAAAATAAATTTAAAAAGAAAAACCTAAAAAAGGAAAAAATTACTGTCATGAATCCCAAAGTGGGAGTGGCCACAGGTGTTCAGGCTTCGGAAAACAAGATCAGGTGGAGGAGTGCCCAGTGGATGGAGAGGCTTGGGGGTCAATGGTGACCATGGTAAGAACTGAGTCCATGGAGTGGGGGTGGGGGAGAAACAGCCTAGAGTGGGATGAGGAGGGAGAGGGAGGCGAGGGTAAAAGTTAGGCAGTTCGAAGAATGCCGCTGTGGGACTTCCCTGGCGGTCCAGTGGTTAAGACTGCACTCCCAATGCAGAGAGCACTAGCTCGGGGAAGATCCCGGGGAAGATCCCCATGCCGTGCGGTGTGGCCAAAACAAAGAACAAAAAGAAGAAAAAAGAATGCAGCTGTGAAGCAGAAATGAGAGGGGCAGCTGGAGAGGTTTTTTTAAAAGCTGGAAGAGAGTGGTGGCTGGAGTCCACCCCCAATCTCCTGGTGTAGGAGGACAGTAGGCAAGAGCAGGACCAAAAGGAGGGCTTGGGGAAAGTTGTGGAAGGAGGTGATAAAGGCCTGTGTCCGGAAGCGAGACCGTTCCCCGGGTCCCAGGAGCCCCTATCAGGCTGGCATTTCCTCCCCATCTCCACCCGCTTCCTGCCGCTGACCAGGCCCTCCCTGGAGCTGGAAGAGAGAAGGCCCAAGTCACACCCTGGAAGCAGCTCTGTGGCTCCGGAGGTCTTTCTGCTGGCCTGTAAGCTGGGGCCGGGGGAGGAGGGGGCCTGAGGGACGGATACCAGCCAAGGACCTGGAGCTAGCAGTTTAGGCTTTGGGGGGCAAGGGGAGGAGAGGGGAGTGGAGGGGGGGAGGTGTGGGAGCTGAGTTTCTGGAAGGGATCCTGGAGGCTGCAGTGGGGGCTAGGGCCTGCAGGAATACTGCCGGGGGGCGGAGGGGTGCCCACTCTCAAGCCCCCCTTGCCCACAGGTCCCCATGCCTCTCTTCCTCTTGCTGCTCCTGCTGCCAAGCCCTTCACACTCCCACCCCATCTGTGGCATCAGCAAAGTGGCCAGCGAGGTGGAAATGAACTGTGAAAATAAGGGGCTGAAGGCGCCGCCTCCAGATCTGCAAGCAGAAACCAACATCCTCCGCCTGGGTGGGAACCCCCTGGGCACCTTCTCCATGGTGTCCATGGTGCATCTGACTCACCTCACTCAGCTGCACCTGGAGAAGAGCCAGCTGACCAGCCTGCAGACTGACGCGACGCTGCCCCGGCTGGAGACCCTGATTATATCCCACAATACGCTGAGAAGCCTGCCCTTGCTGGGACGGGCGCTGCCAGCACTCTATGCTCTGGACATCTCCTTCAACGAGCTGGCCTCATTGTCTCCTGATGCCCTGGTTGGCCTGAGCCACCTCCGTGAGCTCTACCTGCGTGGCAACGAGCTGAAGACTCTGCCCCCTGGGCTCCTGCAGCCCACGCCCAAGCTGAGGAAGCTCAACCTGGCCGAAAACGGGTTGAGTGAGCTGCCCTCTGGGCTCCTGGATGGGTTGGAGGAACTTGACACCCTCTACCTCCAGCAGAACTTGCTGCGCACGATACCAAAGGGCTTCTTTGGGGACCTCCTCCTGCCTTTTGCTTTCTTCCACGACAACACCTGGTTCTGTGACTGCGGGATCCTCTATTTCAGCCACTGGCTGCAGGACAATGCCAACAACGTGTACATATGGAAGGAGGGTGTGGACGCCAAGGCCATGACCCCCAACGTGACGAGCGTGGGGTGTGTCAATTTGCCCAACACGTTTGTCTACACCTACTCAGGGGAGGGCTGCCACACCCCTGGCGACAGGGACAGCATAGACTACGATGTCTACGAAGAGGATGACAAGGTGCCTACCACAAAGGCTGCGGGCAGCTTCTCTACCCACACCAGTGCCCACACCACCCACTGGGGCCTGCTTTACTCACTGCCGACTGCTTCGCTAGGCCCCCAAGTGTCCTCCTTGCCTCCAACTAAGGAACAGACCACGTTCCGAATTTCTACAGGACCCATCACATTCTCCAAAACTCTAAAACCCACCCCAGAGCCCACAAGCCCGAGCACCCCAGAGCCCACAAGCCCGAGCACCTCAGAGTCCACAAGCCCGAGCACCCCAGAGCCCACAGCCCCGAGCACCCCAGAGCCCACAGCCCCGAGCACCCCAGAGCCCACAAGCAAGACCTCAGAACCTACCGTATCCTTAACCTCCACTGAACCCACTTCACTTCCCACTATCTTAGAATCCACCACAGCCACCATCTCTGAATTTGCCAACCTCCTGAAGGCCCAGGGGGTGGCTCAGTGGAATGCGGAGAGTTCCGGAAACGACCCTTTTCTCAACTCTGACTTTTGCTGCCTCTTCCTGGGCTTCTACATCTTGGGTCTCCTCTGGCTCCTGTTTGCCTCTGTGGTCCTCATCCTGCTGCTGTTCTGGGTCCAGCACGTGAAACCACAGGCCCTGGCCACAGTCACGCACACCTCGCATCTAGAGCTGCAGAGGGGAAGGCAAGTGACAGTGGCCCGGGCCTGGCTGCTTTTCCTCCAAGGCTCGCTCCCCACTTTCCGCTCTAGCCTCTTCCTGTGGGTGCAGCCTAATGGCCGTGTGGGGCCTCTGCTGGCAGGACGGCGGCCCTCAGCCCTGAGCATGGGTCGTGGTCAGGACCTGCTGGGGACAGTGGCTGTTAGGTACTCTGGCCACAGCCTCTGATGGGGGGTGGTTTGGGGACCTCGAGAGAGACTCTGATGGGCTTTCCTATTGGGATCTAGCTGGGGGCGGGTGGGTACAGAGTACAGGGTCGGGGGAGGGCTTCGTTACTGCTTCTTTGTCAGGAGCCTCCCCTGCACACCCCGGGCACACAATCCCAGACCCAGCATATCTGGAGAGGTAGTGAGATGGAGAAGTTGGGTGGGTCACAGAACAAAGAGAGCTCCTGATGCTGCATGGATGGCGGGGTTCCCAGACCACTACACTAGGTTATTACCATCACTTTGGGGAAGTTTTAGGCAAAAGCAAACAACAAACAGAATATAGCACGGTTCCCACGTGTATCCATGTATTGAAGGAAACTTGGGAAGAGATGTCACGACGTGAGCCCTGATTGTCTCTGGGTGGTATAAATATAGGTGGTTTCATTTTCTATTCCTCTGCTTAGCATTTTCTGGTTTTCCACCATCATATATTATTTGTATCATAAAAATAATTTAAAAATAGAATATCCATTCTTTTGGAGAGGGAAACGAGGCTAGGGCACCGTCACCAGCATTCCCAAGGCCCCAGCTGCCCCACCCTAGTTGCACTGCTCACCCCCAAAAGCTCTAGTCTTGGCCTGCACTTCCCCTGCCTGGGCTGCCTTTTCCCTCCTCCAAGGGTAACCACCCACCAGGCCAACCACAAGCAAGTTCCAGCTCAAGATCCAGAAGTTTCCTGGGAGCTCAGTGGTACTACTGAGGGTATCTGCCTGCAACCTGCAGTACTAGGAGGACAGGTGGGTGCCTCCTGGCACCTGTGGCCTCAGAAACGCAGCTCTCCTGCTTTGCCCAGGGCAGCAGGACAGGGGAGGGGAGGGCCTGGCAGTGAGTACCATCTCGGTGAGTTTTACTGAACTACTCTCAGTTTCCTGCTGTCAAGCCAGGAGGTAGGCAGATGGAGCCCAGTTCTCTCCCCTGGTGCCATGGATTCTGCCATTCACCTGACCACGTTGGGCAGAGCTTTCTCTCCTGCCTCCAGCCCAAGCCAGCACTTAGGGCCCAGAGAATGGGAGTGAGGGCTGAGCCTTTCTGGCTCCACGGAGACCCCTTTCTCCAGATGGTGCAGGAAGAATCCTCCTAACCTGAAACCCTGACCGCATCTTTCTCCTGCTCTGAACTCTTTCCAATAGAGGACAACTCCTGAGCTTGGCGATCGAGGATTTCCGTGCACCAACCCATCTAACAGTGCAGCTGCCCCTCCCACAGCAGACACTTCACAGCCTGTGCTCCAGCTATTACAAACTTTGCAGAGATCACCTGCTCCCCCGCGTTTCTCCTCTAAGCCTTTGCTCTCAGTGGGCCAGGAGTGCTGCCCCACCCCACTTCCCTGGCCAGTCGGGTACTGTGCACTGTCTCCCCTCGCCCAGGCTGGCCCGGGTGCCCCACATCCCCCTGCAGCGGTCTGTTGCTGACTCCCAGTTTCCCTGTGTCATCCTCCCCTCTGGACTTGGCACTCCTTAAGGACAAGGTCCAGGCTTCAAGTGTCTCAAAGTGGCCCCTGTGGCCCAGGCCAGCATGTGCATGGAGAGGGTAAGAAAAGAGGCAGAGGTGGGAGGGCCCGGCTGCACCGCCAGGCTGCTGAGCTCTTCTTCTACTGACGAGGTTCTGCCAAGGTGACAGTTCCCACCTGCCGTCTGCCTGTCCCCTGGCCTGCCTGTCCCCTGGCCTGGCTCGGGAGAAACTTCAGGCCTCGTGCCGCCCAGCCCTCCTTCCAAATGACCTTCCTATGCCCTTTTATGCCCCAAGAGGTTCCTAAGCTCCTTGAGGGCAGGGCCTGGGAGTCACACATCTCCTAAAGAAATGGAGAAGGCAGTCACTCTCCCCAGCTTACAGCCCACATCAAGCCTCCAGGCTCTGGGGGCCCGGCTCCGTGCCCACTCTGCCCCCGACAGGTCAGCCTTCCCCTCTCAGACTCTATTCCCTCCCTCTTCAGGCTGCAGAAACAGTCACCCGACCCCAGAGATTTTTCCTGGGGATTACATGAGACGACCTGGGCGTCTGTAGTATTCTTGAGCGAGGGGCTACGAAGCAACACACAGGGCCTGGAGTTTGGGTTTTTCTCACCCTTCAGCTGCTGCAACGTGACTGATTTACATAACATTTGCATAAAAACAGCGGGTACTTTTTCTTTAATAACTTTTTTTAAAAACTCCAGTTCCTGTTCTCCAGGGGCATCCGCTTCTTTGTCCAGTCTCCTCCCCCTCCTGCGCCCACAGCTCTCCAGATCTGGGGGTGGTGTCATCAATCCAATTTATTGATTACGTCCTCAGTGAGGTGGAGGAAGGAAGGGCCATGTCCTCCCACTGCAGACCTTTGATCATCTTGACAGCTTCGGCTCTCTCCTGTCCCCTCAGCTCTGCCTTGGTTTCCCCACTGAGAAGGGGGGCCTTCTGCTGTACTATGTGCCCTGAAACTACCCAAGAGGAGGCCAGAAATCTGCAGGGAGCTTCCCACCTCCGTGCAGGGCACAGGCAGGGACAGAGAGATCATGATGATTAGGGCAAGGAGGGCGAGCTGGAGCAGGGGCAGGACAGACCAGAAGTCCCTTATCACAGAGGAGGGAACCATACTGTGGAGGGAAAATAAATAGCGGGGCCCAGGGCAGCAGAGTCTAGGTCCCCTGGGGGGCACACTGACTGGAGGAGCAGCGGGCGAGTGGGAGCCCCGGCACAGCGGCTCCAGGCCCCTCGCTCGCCTCAGCCACTGAGGAAGAGACGCTTGTAGGCCTTGTTCATCTGCTCCAAGAAGATGAAAGTGAGGACAGTGTGGGGACCCAGGCGGGCATAGTATGGTGTAAAGCCCTTCCACAGACTGAAGAAGCCCTCGTAGCGGACGACCTTCACCAGCACATCCTAGACAGCCAGGCAGGCACGGCACTGAGGTTGGGACCTGGCCTCTGGGACCCTCTTCCTCTTACCCAGCTATCCCCCACCCCCACTCCCAGGGCATCCAATCCGGCAGCCCAAGCCCCTAGCCCTGCTTCCTCACCAGCCCGTTCTTGTATTCCGGCTTCCCGTCAATCATTCGCATGTTCTGGATCCTGAAGGAGAGGAGGCAGGGGCATGAGAGACACAAAGAGGGCTCTCCCGTCGTTCTCCAGGCCCAGGTCTGCATACTCACCGGGTCTTGACAATGTCCACAGGCATAGAGGCAGCAGTGGTGACCAGGCCGCTGATCATGCTGGCACAGAAGTGGCACAGGATGTTGTCAGAAAAGTAGCCTGGAGGAGGCAGAGCAGGGGGTGGCAGTCAGCTCTGAGCTGGCCCAGGCTAGGCTGGGAGCTGAGGGCCCAGCTCTGGGTCTCACCTGAGTCCAGTAAAAACTGCTTGGACTGGGAGTAGGAGGCGAGCTGGGCAGCATTGACGACGACAGCCCGAGCCATGGTAGGGATGCAGCCCTGGGGTGGGGGGGATGGGGGAGAAGTCAGAAATGCCCAAGACCTGACCCCATATCCCCAGTCTCCAGCCCCTTCACTCACCCTCCATAGTGTAGGGACGCCCTCTTCCCGGGCAATTCGAATCAGGGCATTAAACACGTTTTTGTAGCCACGGCGCTGGTCAGCTGGAAGCCTGGTGGGAAGGTAGGGAGAGGCCAAGTTTGGGATAGACCACCCTGCCCCCACAGGAGCAAAGAAACGGAGGCCAGAATGCTGTGAACAGGTGAATGCTGTGCTCTAGATCTAGAATAAGAAATCAGTTCTTTCATTCTGGATTCCAGGGAATGGGGCTGGGGACAGGCTCAGACCTGGAACTCACCGGCCGTCAGCAGTCATGCGGATAAGAGCCACCTCAGCTGGTGTTCCCACAAAGGCACCAGTTGCACCTGCAGTCATGCCAATCAGGGCCTTCAGCAGAAAGCCAGGGGGTGTACCATCAGCCCCAGTCAGGCGCTCAAATAGCACGGTATAGATACCAAGGCGAGTAGTGGTATAGGTGGCCTGGCGCAGCAGGCCAGCTGACAGTCTGGGGAGCGAAGGAGTCAGTGCATCAAGCCAAAGTCTAGAGCTGTCAACCCACACGCTACCCCCATCCTTTGGACCCAGTACCCGGTGTAAATGCCCCTCAACCCTTCTGCCCTCAGAATGCTGGTGAGGGCATGGAAGCTGGTTTTGTACTCTCGTGTCTTGGCTCCTTCCCCACTCAGCTGCATCCGGTTCTTCACCAGGTCCAGGGGCTGCACAAAAACTGTAGCTCCCATCCTGGGGGAAGACAGGGGTGGAGTCAAGAGCTAGGTGGCCCAGATCTACCAAAGCCCCCTGGAGCCCGGCAACAAGAGATCACAAAGGGAAGGGCCTGCCATGCGATTGACTACATGTTCAGGAGGCTGGTGGGCATGTGTACAAGAGTCTCTGCGTGTACCAAGAGCAATGGGTCTGAAAAGTCCAGCGGTCCAGTAGGTGCCATGCAATGAAAGTGTTCCATGCAGCTCCCAGGGTGTCAAGCAGTGACCGAGAGATTGCATGCAGTCCGACCCAAGGAGGAGAGGTGGGCATTCATGACCTGGGACTCCACGTAATCCAGCAGGAGCCATGCAATGACCTGAAACCCCAAACAGCCCCGGAGAGCCAAGCAATGGGTTGGGAAACTCTGGTGGCCCGGCGGGGGCCGTGTATGCAGCCCAGAAGGGGCCCTGCGATGGGTGAAAAGATCCTAGCAGCCCATCAAGGACCTCGTAATACGATGGGGACAGCAATGACTCCGTGTCACCTCGGTTCACTGCAACACAACCAAAGAACAGGGCCCGGTTCCTGGCACCCGTCCCTGCCTCCTCCTGTCCCATCCCTGGGGCCTGAGCTTACCCGGCCAGGCCCCCAAACAGGAACTTGACGGACTTAGGGGAGGTACGGGGCTTCCCGTTCACCCCACTAGCCCCGGGACTCGCCGTCGCCGCCATCGCCACTCAAGGGCCCTCGGCTCCCGGACCCGTGAGCGCGCGGCCCCGCTCGCGCCCAAGGTGACA